AATCAAAGACTAACAAATAAACTACAGGAAAATGAAAAAAAATATTATATCTAGTATAGATTTATGCCAGGAATATAAATATTTTCAATATTAAGGAAATAATATTATAAATTATGTTAATAACAACAATAATTAAAATTACAGCTTTATATTATATATGATTATATGTATATTGAGACCTTTAATAAAATTGTTGTTCAGTAGTTTTAGTCCTGTTCAACTGTCTGTGACCCCATTTGGGGTTTTCTTGGCAAAGATGCTAGAGTGGTTTGCCATTTCCTCCTCCAGATCATTTTATTGATGAAGAACTGAGGTACACAGGGTTACGTAATTTGCCCAGGGTCACACAGCTACTAAGTGTCTGAAGTCAGATTTGAATTCATGAAGATGAGTCTTCCTGACTCTAGCAACAGCATTTTATCCACTGTGCCACCTAGCTGTCCCACAGAGAAATGGTAGTTTAATAAAATACAATATTCATTTGTGCCAATTCCTTTAAAAATTGAACAGAATAATATTTTATCATAATAAAACAATTATTTGAAATGAAGGGCTGACATAAAATGGAAACTGTTAAAAGCATTACCACCGAAAGGTGCAAATAAGAGTTGCCCAATTTGGTCATTTTTATTCAACATATTTTGTCTAAAGCATGAAAAACCAAAGGAATACACATTGGTGACAAAGGGACGAAGATATTTCTAGTTGTAAAAGAGGCTTGGAAAGTTACGGCAAATCTGTACGGCATACTAAAAAGCAGAGACATCACCTTGCTGACAAAGGTCCACATAGTCAAAGCTATGGTTTTTGAAATGTATGGTTGTGAAAGTTGGACTATAAGGAAAGTTGAACATGCTAGAATGTGGTGCTAGGGAACACTTTTGAGAATCCCTTGGACAACAAAGAGTTCAAATCAGTCAATACTTAAAAAAATAACAGGCTATTCATTGGAAGGTCAAATATTGAAGCTGAAGCTTAAATACTTTGATCACATAATGAGAAGATTGGACTCACTGGAAAAGATCCTGATGTTGGGAAAGATTGAAGGTAAAAGGAAAATGGGATGGTAGAGGATGAGATGGGTAGACAGTGTCTTGGAAACAATGAACATGAACATACTTCAAGAGATAGTAGAGGATAGAAGGGCTTGGCATGCTGTGATCCATGGGGTTATGAAGAATCAGACATGATTGAACGACTACTCAACAACAACAACAAAGATTAAATGATTGCCTATCTAAAAAATCTAAGATGCCCAACAAAAATATGAATTGAGTTAATAAATTAGTAAGTAATGATATATAAAATAAACTTACACAAAACATTCACTTTTTTATATGAATAACAAAAAAATAGGGGCAATTGAGAAATACTACTTTAAATATCAACAAATTTTGGGTATCCACCTATCAAGAAACATACAATATATCTATTCAGGGAACTCTGAAATCAATTTAACAGATATAAGCAATTAAATTGAATAATTGAAGGGATATCCCTCAAAATTATTTCTATCACTTTAATATTATAATTATACTAAATTTTAGCAAATATTCCAGTGCTTCACTAATTATAGTTTTACTTAAGTCACAATGAAGATATCATGTGTGTCACTTTATAGCATTAGATGAAATAAAAATTATATAGGGAAATAAATATCCAAGAGTATTAATGTGAAATCATAGGTCTGGACTCCCCTCTCCCCAAATCAATAAAAATGGTGAGGAGGAACGAAACAAAAAACAAGAGCTAATGGAGGCATATTAGCTGTGGAATAGCCAATCTGAAATAGAACCAAGAATTTACAAGAGATTATTAGCATTGAGTAAACACAAGATTAGAAGGGAAATATCATTCAAGAGAATTTTGAAAGAGAAATGAGATAGCTAGTATGGTAAAATGAGTTTAGACATGCTCTGTATAGAAAGACTACAAGAATTCTAATTGATAATAACCTAAAGAAAAATTTTTAAATGAGAAATTACCTCAGTTGTGGGGAGGAAAAAATGTACTGGAACATAGAAGAAATTATTGGAGATGAAAAATGGGCTTTATATAAAAATAAACAGTTTTGTATGACAAATTCAACATAAAAATAGAATCAATAGATCATTGGTGAAATAAATTATGGTAAATATATCTCATATCAGCACATCAAGAAGCTGTGATCTTGTCAGTGTGCAAACACCGTTCACTGATATGGATTGCAGGCCTGTAACAGTACGGCAATTCTTAAACTTCATGTTCTCAGGACCCCTTCACACTCTTAAAAATTACTGAGTTCTTGTTTACATGGATTATGTCTATCATTACTGACTATATTAGGAATTAAAACATCATAGTAATAATTATGAAAATACTTTTGACCTCACCAAACCCTTGATAGGTTCCAGGAGTCTTTGGATCACACTTTGAGAACCACTAACATAGAAGATAAGTTCCAGAGGATTGACTAAGGCTCATATATTTCACAATATGATGAAATGAATGGATAAAAATGTGTCTGTCGTATAAGAGTGAAACACTCCCTTGTGATAAAAGAGTTATGATGAAAGGAGCCACAAGGCAACTGATTGTCATGCCCTTTGCAGAAGCAATGATTTAATTACTAATTTAATTATCATTCTTAGAGAAAAGGGTGGAAATAGGCGAACATTGAAGCAGGGTACGTAGTAAGATACCCAGGGTGGATGGATGGATGGAATGTGAAGCATGGGCTGGGGCCAGCTAAATATAGTGGATTAGGTGATTTTGCACTCATCAATTTAGACAGTTCATCTTCAGGGTGTAGTCCCAGAACTAAATAGATTAACAGTCTCCAGGGAGAGGGGAATGTTTTCTAGCTCATATTTGTCCAGCACATTACAGTTTACAAGTCATTTTCTAAGCATTCCATCCTCTGATTTTTCTCTGCAGCTATATGAGATAGGTAATGCAGGTATTACATTTAACAAATAAGGAAATTAGAGCTGGGGGAGTTGAAGGGACTTGCCCAAGGTTAAACAGCTATTAAATGACGACGACATTTGTCGCCAACAAACTTGTGGGATTCATCCAAGTCCTCACTACCATTAGTTCGTTAGGACCTACAGTTTAGACAAGTTGGCCTTACTGGAGCTCCCAAGGATTCGGGCTCTCCTACTTTCCCTTGCCATTCCTGGAGTCAGGAAGACCCAAGTTCAAGTCCTGCCTCAGACATTCACTAGCTGCATGAACCTAGGCAAGTCATTTAACCTCTTTGCACCTCAGTTTCCTCATCTGCAAAATGAAAAAGTTGGATTCAATGATCTCTAACTACAGTCTCTTCCTGCTCTAAATCTGTGATCCTATGATCCTTCCTTGCCTCTAGCCACAGAAACTATGGGCAATACTATAGGTGAATGTGTTTGATTTTGCCCTACTTTATTACTGGGCTTATAACAGTGTTTCACCCATCTCTCTCCCAGGTTGTCTCTACAGCCTAGAATTTGGGGGTTTGGACTACTCTGCTGTTTGAGAGTCTATCCTCTATACTTTCTCCTTTCCCTGGGTTTAAGATATAAAGGTATTGGGATATGTGTGTAAGACAGAGACTGCTCTGGGCCCCTTTCTCTTTAAACACAAACTTGCTGCTTTTGCATGTGGGTAGGGACACAACAAATTCATTTTCTCAATGCTAAAGCCCTATACTTTTGTCACTACCAATTGAAATAAGCAACCTTTCCTTTCTACTTCAGTAGGCATGTGTTAGTAACAATAAGGAATCTGGGATAGCTAAGTTAGAGGATGGTAAAATTGCTGTTGTCAATAGCCCTGTTGAAGCCCTTCGCTTCTCACTTATGCTGGGGTTGTGCAAGGCCAGCACCTAAAAACTTGTAGAAGTAGAACTTGCTGGATAGTAGTCTAGCCCTATTAATTACACTGCTACTTAAAATGTGTCTGTCTTTGAAGGAAGGAAAGGGAAAGAGGATGGTTTTGTAATAATGGAGCAGTGCATTTAGATTCCTTTGTGTTATACAAGTCCTTTGGGGAGTCTTGTATGCTGAGCTAGTCTGTGTACTGTGTGAAGTCTTACACACAGAGCACCCTGATGGGTTTGTGCACTGGTGTTTTGTGTGACAGTAAGCAACATCTGTATCTTGGCAACAGTTGAACCTTTTCCTTTTTTCTCATATATGGGTGATTTCCTGCATCCTCTGGAACTGATTTTTTCAAAATTATGGAGAATTTCTGAGAGGAAATGCTAATTCCTCTGTCTCCTCACCATTGCAGGTATTGTTTCTGTTGACAGCCCAGGTTTCCACATTTTTAACCTTAGGATATTCAGATATAGGCATTTGGAGAGGAAAAGTGAGGAAGCAGTGGTCTAGCCAGGCCTCCATTTAGTTTCCTGCTCTTTTATTTTTTTGGCTAGGTAATGGAGTTAAGTGACTTGCCCAGGGTCACAGAGCTAGTAAGTGTTATGTGTCTGAGGCCAGATTTGAACTCAGGTCCTCCTGAATCCAGGGCCAGTGCTCTATCCACTGGGCCACCTAACTTCCCCTAGATTCCTGCCCTTGAAAGACATGAAATGAAACACTCCACCCCCACATGCAAAATCAAAGTCTTTTCCCCAATTTCTCCTTTCTTGTCCACACAACCACGTTGGCTTTATTGTACTCGAGCAAGGTCAAAACTCATGTGTATGATTAGGGTAGGGCCTAACTGGAGCTATGTTGTCTCAAACTAAAAAATCTTAGCAGATGCACTCAAACCCACCCCAGTGAAAACCTGGTTTGGGATTAACTCTATAAAAAGAGCCTTGAAGCTAGATGAAGTTTGTTTTAGTTTCTTGTAATCTACCAACTTTGAGTATTTAACCTGCTTTTCCTTCTAGATTGGACATACTCAAAAAAAGTGACCTTAAGCAATTGCTTATTGGTGGAACTCAGGATTTCCCTCCTCTTTGCCTCCTTCCTCCCCCTAGTCCTTTCCTATCTCTTTGAGGTTCCATTTTTAACTTACAGCTTTCTTACCCACAGGTACTTCCCTGGCTAAGCATCATTTTGTCTTACCCAGAGTTTTCTGTCTGATAGTATGCTGCTTCTCACGAGTTGCCAAACCTCAACTTATTTGAAGCATTCTGCTCATCTCCAGTCCTTCTGATCTATCTGGCTTGGAGAATCTCCTCTAAAAGCGTCAGGACCATACTGCTTCTGGTAACTTTTGCTGATGCCTTTGGTTAGGTTGTTTCCATCCTGCCATTCATTATCACTATATATAAAAGACTCACACTAGGCTATATGGGCTCTACTTCCCTTCTCTGAACTGATTGGGGGGGAGGGATAGGAAAGAAGGGAGCACTTTGGTGTACTCTCTAGCAAGGGTCTTCAGATCCCAAGGGATATGTGATCAACTACCTATCCACCCTTCCTGCAGAAGTCAATATTGGGGCTTAACACAACCTACTCTTCATGCCTTACCTCTGAGCAATTTTTCATTCCACACTGTGCAAGCCCCCAACTTTTCCTCTGGTATGGGGGTAAGCCCAGGGTAGTTATAACCCAAACCCTGCTTGTTACCTATAGCAACATCTGAGCAGATGTCATTGGTAATGAGCCACCTACCCCAACCACCCTATATGCCCACTCCCTATCTCTCCAGATCAATTTGTGGCTGTGGCACTAGACTTCTAATTGGTTTCCCATCTCAAGTCTTTCCCTACTCTAATCCATTCTTCAGACAACCACCAAAGTGATTTTCTTAGAGCAGATCTGACCATATTCCCCCAAATTCAAGAAACCTCAGTGGCTCCCTGTTCCTTCTAGGTTCAAATGTGAACTCCAATGTTTGTCATTTAAAGACCTTCACAATCTGGCCTCAACCTACCTTTCTAGCCTTGTTATACATTTCTGTCCCTCATGCACTGTACAATCCAACCAAATTGGCCTTCTTGTTGTTCCTCATCCTTATAGAAAACATCCAAAATATTCAAATATGAATAGGGTATTAAACATCCATTAAGTAGAACCATGAAAAGAAAGAGGAATGCATTTATGGAAGAAAATTTCTGCTGAGTTGAATTCAGAAACAATTCACTTTTGCTTATTGTTTTTTCATTGTGTATGATGATTGTCTTCACGCAAAACATGACTCCGGAAGAGCTATTATGTTCACTGTTCTAACCTGTTGTTTATTGTAATTTGTATTAGTGTATATGTTTTATAATGTGTGTACAGTAGAGCATGTATGTAATTTATAAATAAATTCATATAAATGTATAAATAGGGGAGTGTGCTCAACAATTGTTTTTTTTTTTTTTTTACCGATAGGGTATGTAATCAAAAAGTCTGGAGACTACTGTTTTTTAGAGGAATCGTTATTATGCCACAGCCCCCAAAATGAATGAAACTTTTCTTAAGCATCCCAAGGTCCTATTATCTTTTTTGGCTGCCACATCACACTTCTGATACATTGAAATCAATTAAACCTCAATATTCCGCCCTACTATGATTGCGGGCTTGAACTCCACAAAAATACCTGCCCCCACCAAATCTGGATATCTTGGCTGCAACATTTAATCTCTTTCTCACCTCTGCTTTCACCAATTAAACTCCCCAGACCACAAAGCTGCTTTTCCTAGGGTCTTTGCTTATAAGGCACACACAAATAATAGCAATCAATTAATCAACAATCATTTATAAAACATTTCCTACTTTGTACTTTTTAGACCATCAGAAAAATTTTCCTCCTCCCCCACCTCCATTGGATGGCTTTGCTTAACAAGTTAGAGTTGACAAGTAAGAAGACACAAAGGCATCTAAGCACTATTCTCCATTCAGGAGTTCAAATAACCAAAAAACCCTTTAGATTGGTCTAAAGAGCAATGTTTTAGCATGAAAATATAGGCTGAGGTGAGACACTAGATTCTCAGAGTAGATCCAGTAGAACAACATGAAGAAAGGAATATTGTATGAAAAAGCATGATAATTTGCTTCAAAGAAGCAGCCTCAGAAAACATCACTTCATGGTAGCATGTGCTGTTTACACTTCCAGCTCAGCTGAAGGCCCAGTAGCTGTGGGTTTGGACAGTAACTCTCCTTCTAATATGCCTCCCCATTTTTTTAAAAACAACTATCACTTTAATGTTTAAAAAAATACTTTGTATACACACAGGGGTTTGCTGGTAAATATTTAACAACTGGTTCCAAAAAAAAAAAAGCTTGCGTGACATACTTTTAAGTTTCATCTGCATTAACATTTTCTCTGTCTCTTAATTCTAGAGAATCAGGAAAACAATAAAGCCCCAATTTTTGCATATGCCGATTTCTAATGCTGACACTTAAATTTTAACAATCAGCTCTAGTGAATTAATTTAATCTGCTCTAGCACACTCCTCCTAATATATAGCTAAGTTGATTCTCACAACAACCCTGTTAAGTAGGTAGTTAATTTCATTATCCCTGTTTTATAGGAGATGAATAAAAGGTTTAGAAAGGTCAAATGACTTGTCCATTTGGGGTAACCTGGCTAGGGAGTGGTGGAGTTGGATTTGAAACTAATGCTATTTCTTTGGCCACCTGCTGTCACCTCAAAGTCATGACCAAAAATGGTAGAAGTCTTCAACCAGATCAGGGACATGGAGGTTTCCATGGTTTTTTTTTAGGCTTAACTTCAAAGAACTTGAGGGAAGTCCCATTATCCACCCAAGTCCAGGATCTCACCCAGTCACTGAATTTGAGAGTTGGAAGAGACTTTAGCAATGGGTGGGTTGGCCATCTAGTGCAACTTACACTTTTTTGGACAATATGTTCTGCTTGGCCATCCACAACTAGTTTAGGTGGATATATTAATCTGGTGCAACTGAAGACAGAAAGTACCAATTGTCCAGATTATGATATATCGTTGGATGGCCAGCCTGAAGAGATAGTCCATAAGGACATAGAGCTTGGGCAGACACTGCACATGGACAATAAACTGTACCAAAAATTGAACAGTAGGAGGTGAGTGTGTTAGATAGCTTTTGGGAAGCTGTGTGATGCTTTTAACATGCCCAGTTTCTCCCTCAACAAAGGCCCATCTTTTAACACATCAATGTAATGTTGAGCCATCATGAGTCACAGTATCTGAAAAATTAAATTGAGGGTTAACACAGGACAATGGAGAAGTGCATGGTGGTTGAGAGTAGGCTTGAATACATTATTAATCAACAACTGTATGACTGGAAAAGAAGGTGTCTAGTCATGTAGTAAGAGTTTAAACAACATCAAAAGTTTTATAGGACTATAAGGCATGAGTGGGTTATATCTGCATCATTGGAGCAGTACCCACATTGAAAATATCCCAAATTCAATTCAGCCTTGAAATTTTTGTTTAAGATGGGCCTTTCATAATGAAGACAAATGGAAAGCATGGTGGATATGGATCAGGGAAGCTAATCATAGTTAATAGGACAATTGAGAAGGGACCTATCACACCCTCTGTCAGTTTCCTGAAGGGGTGCTTATGCACAGATTTGGAGCAGTCATTCAGATATGACTTTCAGGGGGTAAAGTTTCCTTAAGTGCAACAGATCATATAATAGCAATTCATTTTTTAAATAGAATTTTGGGGTCGTTTTGTTTTGTTTTTGTTTTGTTTGTTTGTGTGTTTGTTTTTTAGACCTCAGGAATATCACATTCCTGCTGTCCCTAAGGCTTAATATACTGTGCTCTAGACACACTCCTTCCTCCCACACCATGCCTTTTTTAGAATACAGAACAGCTGGAAGCTTCCATGCCCCATGGAAGGATCCTATCCCTAGCCACATCTTACTGCCTCCTTGCTCATAATGCCAAGGGTGGTAAAACAACCCTACTGAAACTGAATAAGACCCTGCCCTCTCCTTAACAAACCTCAGACTGCTCTAGTGAATAATCAGAGGAATCTATGGGCTTTCTCTCCTGGTACTGTATCCTGTTATCATAACTAGTATGCTTAAGGATTCAATTGCACTCAATTCTAATTATAACAGACTGCTAAAACTCACTAGCAAATTTGCTGATGTGGCATAATTAAAATTCTATCTTCTTCATTATGAGCAAATTTTCCTGGAAAATCCCCTTTTACCACTGGTTTGTGTTCCTTAACCCCTTGGTCTCATCCTCAGCATAATAGCTGCTACTATAGACTCTTTGAAAACCTATACAGACACTGGGCCTTATACCATATAGTACATCCCATTACTTTCCAAGCCACCACCTAAAATGTTGCATCATGGAATAGTGGGGGCACCTCATATGACTCTATCCCTGACTGAATTGCTATACCCTCCTATGCTGGGTTTGGCTGTTTCAATAAACCATTCATGCCCCATCCCTGTTTTTTATTTAGTATTTTATTTTTTCCAAGTTACATGTAAAAACAATTTTAACATTCATTTTTAAAACTTTTGGGTTCCAAATTCTCTCCCTTCCTCCCTCCCCACCACCTCTCATTGAGAAGGCAAGCAATTCAAAATAGGTTATACACATGTAGTCATGGAAAACACTTCCATAATAGTCATGTTGTGAAAGACTGACTGTATTTCCCTCCATCCCATTCCTCTCTGTTTATTCTACTCTCTCTTCTTTCACCTTGTCCCTCTTCAAAAGTATTTTGTTTCTGACTACCCCCCAATCTGCCCTCCCTTCTATCACCTCCATTTTGTTATCCCCTTCCCCCTACTTTCCTGTAGGGTAAGATAGATTTCTACACCCAATTGAGTGTATACGTTATTCCTTCTTTGAGCCAATTCTGAGGAGAATAAAGTTCAATCACTTCCCCTCACCTTCCACCTCTTTCCCTCTACTATAAAAACTTTTTTTTGCCTCTTTTATGTGAGATAATTTACCCTAGTCTACGTCTCCCTTTCTTTCATCTAGTACATTCCTCTCTCACCCCTTAATTTTATGTTTTAGATATCATCCCTTCATATTCAACTCACATATGTGCCTGCTGTCTATATATACTCCTTTTAATTACTATAATAATGAGAAAAAATTTTATGAGTTACAAATACCATCTTTCCATGTAGGAATATAAACAGTTCAATAAGTTCCTTATGATTTCTCTTTCCTGTTTACCTTTTTATTCCTCTCTTGAGTCTTGTATTTGAAAGTCAAATTTTCTATTTAGCTCTGATCTCTACTCAAGAATGCTTGAAATTCCTCTATCTCATTGAACATCCATCTTTTCCCCTTTCCCCTTATGAATTATCGGTTTTGCTGGGTAGGTGATTCCTGATTGCAATCTTAAGTCCTTAGCCCTCAGGAATATCACATACCCAGCTCCCAATCCTTCAATGTAGAAGCTGCTAAATCTTGTACTATCCTGGCTATGGCTCCATGATACCTGAATTGTTTACTTTTGGCTACTTGCAATATCCTCTCCCTGACCTGGGAACCCAGGAATTTGGCTATAATATTCCTGGCAGTTTTCATTTTGGGATCTTGTTCAGGAGGTGATTGGTGGATTCCCCCAATTTCTATTTTATCTTCAGAATATCAGGGCAGTTTTCTGTGATATCTTCCTGAAACATGATGTCCAGGCTCTTTTCTTGATCATGGCTTTCAGGTAGTCCAATAATTTTAAAATTATCTCTCCTCGATCTATTTTCCAGGTCAGTTGTTTTTCCAATGAGACATTTCATATTTTATTTTTCCATTCTTTTGATTTTGTTTTATTGTATCTTGATGTCTCATGGACTTATTAGCTTTGACTTGCCCAATTTTAATTTTTAAGGAATTATTTTCTTCAGTGAATTTTTATACCTCTTTTTCCATTTGGCCAATTCTGCTTGTGAAGGCATTCTTCTCTTCACTGGATTTTTGTGCCTCTTTTACCTTTTGACCTATTCTGTTTTTTAAGGTGTCATTTTCTTCAGTATTTTTTGTGCTTCCTTTACCAAACTGTTGACTCTTTTTTCATGTTTTCTTGCATCACTCTTATTTCTCTTCCAAAATTTTCCTCTACCTCTCTTATTTGATTTTCAAAATCCTTTTTGAGCTTTTCCATGGCCTGAGACCAATTCATATTTTTCTTTGAGACTTTTGAGAGTTTTGACTTTGTTGTCTACTTTTGAGTTTGTCTTTTGATCTTCCCTGTCACCATAGTAACTTTCTATAGTCAAGATTTTTCTGCTGTTTGCTCATTTTCCTAGTCTATTTCTTGGCTTTCAACTATGTTAAAATGGGGAATGGGGCTCTGCTTCTGGAATAGA